TCAGGTGAGTAAGAGGAACTGGGAAGTTTCAGGGGGGCTCAGTGCACTGCAGTTACTGTCTTTCTCTGTCTCAGGCACCGCTTCTTCCCTGAGGTGGAGGAGCTCCGTGCCAGGGAGCACGAGCACCATGAGAAGATGCGTCAAGAGGTGTTGCAGAGGCGCCAGAAGCAGCTGGCTGAGCTGGCAGAGAGGAAAGCTTCCTCCTAGGCTGAGAGGGCTCCAGGGAGCCCAGCTCACCCCTTCAGTAGGGATGGGGAGCTGTGTTGGGAAGTGAAGAATATATACAACTCTTGCACATGGCACACAGTGCGCACAGACTGAGTGAAGCTTCCATCGGCTTGGCAGGGATATTGGCTGGAGTTTCCTCCCCCAACTTGCTTGATATGCATGAGTGATGGCTTCAGAAATCCCCGTGTTGGTATTGTGATCTACTAGTCAGATCAGGGCTCTGGCAGTCTGGGATAAGTTCAAGTCCTAGCTCTGCCAGTGAATTGCATTGTGTGATGTTGGACGAGTCACTGTCATTCAGCTTCTCTGGGGTTGTCTTCACTGGGAAAAGCAGTTGAGTTTAGATTGAACTTAGCTAATATGTTAGCCGAGCCTAACTTAAATTAGACCCTTTTCCTAGTTTAGACATATTTAGCTAATCAAATTGCGGCCTAGAAGATGGTATCCTGCATCTATTCTAGGGGAAAGAAGGTCAGGTTTTGCTAACTTGTATTAACCAAGCGTGATCTGAACTTGACCACGCTGCCTAATCAAGAAACACCCTCTGTGCCTCAGCTTTCCTAGCTGTAAAGTGGGGTAACAGTGCTTGCCCGCTTGTATGAAGCATTTTGAGATCCATGGATGAATGGTGCTATAAGTGCTAAAATAATTGACTGGTGACAATATACCTGAGTTTATTGTCACTTAAGGTGAGAAGTGTCTAGAAATCTGGATCTCTCTGATGTAACATTTTATATCTTATCTAAAGTGATTTTTGTAATCTGTTGTTTCTGCCATGATAGTGTTGCACACTACCAAATAAGACTTTAGCTACAGCTTTTGTCTGATAAATCATCCTTAAGAGTGATTGAAGAGCTTAATTTTAAGCATAAAATGACTGATCCCTAAGTGCATCCCATTTGTTATTGCTTTGTGTGGTATTCACAGCAGGCTTTGTATTGTTGATTGAAATATGAAGGGACCACTCTCCCTTGAAATTACAGATGTAAATACACATTATGGTATTTGTTTAACTCTTTCTGTAATAAAAAACAATGTGTTTTAAAGCAGGAATTTTTTTTTTTGCACTCTAGGAAGGGCCTAAATATCCCCAAATAAGACTTTCACTCATTATTTTTGTATTTCCTTATAATCAGGGCTTGCCAAGTGGTGGCAAGCCCCACTCGCCCGCCATGCCGTTCTGCGCATGCGCAGATCGCTCTGCGCCGGCTCTTCCCAGTTGT